ACATCCATGCCGATCTTCCTCCACTTTATGTGGGACGCCGCCACAGCATGGCCTGACTAGCGGTGCGTCGGTGCGTGCCTGGGATCCGAACCCAGGTCGCCAGCGGTGGAGCGCACACACTTAACTGCTTGGGGGCCAGCCCCAAGAAACCCACTTTAAATATAAAACACATATAGATTAAAAGTAAATGGATGGAGAAAAATATACTATGGCAATATCAATAAAAATAAAGCAAGAATAGCTATATTAATGTCAGATGGAGCAGACTTCAAAGCAGGGAAAGTTATCAGGGATAAAGAAGGGCATTAAATAATAATAATGATAAAGGGGTCAATTCTCTAAGAAGACATATAATAATCATTAACATATATGTGCCTAACAACAGAGTGTCAAACTATGTGAGGCGAAAACTGATAGAATTGTAAGGAGAAATAGATGAATCCACTATCATAGTTGGAGACTTCAACACCTCTCTATCAGAAATGGACAGATCCAGCAGGCATAAAATCAGTAAGGGTACAGTTGAACTCAACAACATATCAATCACTTGGATATCATCAACATCTATTAAATGATTTCATCCAACAACAGCAGAATATACATTCTTCTCAAGCTCACATAGAACACTGACCAAGCTAGACCACATTCTGGCCATAGAACACATCTTGACAAATTTAAAAGAATAGCAATCATAGAATGTCTGCTCTCAGACCACAGTGGAATTTAACTAGAAATCAATAACAGAAAGATAATTGGAAAATCCCAAAAATATGTGGAGACTAAACAGCACATTCTAAATAACACATGGGTCAAAGAAGAAATCTTAAGACAAATTTAAAAATATTTTGAACTAAATTAAAATGAAAACACAACTTATCAAAATTTGTGGAATGCAGTGAAAGCAGTGCTGAGAGGGACATTTATAGCATTGAATGCATATATAAGAAAAGAAGAAAGATCTAAAATCAATCTAGTTTCTACCTTAGGAACCTAGGAAAAAAAGAGCAAATGAAATCCAAAGTAAGCAGAAGAAAAGAAATAATAAGAATTAGAGAAGAAATCAATGAAATTGAAAAGAGAAAATCAATAGAGAAAATCAAAGAAACCAAAAATTGGTTCTTGGAAAGATCAAGAAAATTGGTAAGTCTCTAGCCAAACTGACTAAGAAAAAAAAAAAGATGACATAAATTACTAATATCAGAAATGAATGAGGAGACACTACTACAGAGCCCATGGACATTAAAAGGATAATAAAAGAATACTATGAACAACTCTATGCCCACAAATTTGATAACCAAGATAAAATGGACCAATTCCTTGAAGACATAAGCTGCCAAAACTCAAACAAGAAAAAATAAACAATCTGAATAGGCCTATATCTATTAAAGAAATTGAATCAATAATTAATAACTTTCCCAAACAGAAAGCACCAGGCCCAGACGGGTTCACTGGTGAATTTTGCCAAACATTTAAGGAAGAAATTATACCAATTCTCTATAAGGTGAGGGAATACTTCCTAACTCATTTTATGAATCCAACATTAACCTAATACCAAAGCCAGACAAAGACATCACCAGAAAAGAAAACTACAGACAAATATCTCTCATGAACACAGATGCAAAAATCCTCAATAAAATATTAGCAAATAAATCCAACAATGTATAAAGAGAATTATAGACTATGACCAAGTGGGATTTATCTAGGAATGCAAGGCTGGTTCAATATTTGGAAATCAATTAATGTAATCCATCACATCAATAGGCTAAAAAAGAAAAATCACATGTTCATATCAATAGATGCAGAAAAAGCATCTGACAAAATCATTTGTGACAAAAAGTCTCAGGAAACTAGGAATAGAGGGTAACTTCCTCAACTTGATAATCTACAAAAAACCTACAGATAAAATCATACTTAAAGATAAGAAATTCAAAGTTTTCCCACTAAGATCAGGTACAGGGCAAGGATTCTCTCTCATGACTCCTTTCAACATCATACTGAAAGTACTAGCTAATGTAATAAGACAAGAAAAGGAAATGAAAGGTACAGATATTGGGAAGGAAGAAGTAAAACTGTCTTTGTTCACATATGACATAATTGTCCATGTAGAAAATCCAAAAGAATCAACAAAAAAAAATCTCCTGGAACTAATAAGTGATTATAGCAAGGATGCAAGATACAAGGTTAATATACAAAAGTTGGTCGCTTTCCTATACATTAGCAATGAACAAGTGGAATTTGAAATTAGATGCAGTGCAATCTCAATTTATTTTTTTGGGGGGGAGGAAGATTGGCCCTCAGCTAACATCTGCCAATCCTCCTCTTTTTGCTGAGGAAGACTGGCCCTGGGCTAACATCCATGCCCATCTTCCTGCAGTTTATATGGGACACTGCCACAGCATGGCTTGACAAGTGGTGCATCGGTGCATGCCCGGGATCTGAACCAGCGAACCCTGGCCCCCAGTGCAATCTCAATCAAAATCCCAGCAAGTTATTTTGTAGATATTGACAAAAGGATTCTAAAATTTGTATGGAAAGGCAAAAGAGCTAGCATAGCCAACACAATATTGAAAGAGAAGAACAAAGTTGGAGGACGACACTACGCGATTTCAATATTTACAATAAAGCTACAGCAATTAAGACAATGTGGTATTGGTGAAAGAATAGGCAAATAGATCAAAGGAACGGAATAGAGAGCCCAGAAGTAGACCCGCATGAATATAAGCAACCAATTTTTGACAAAAGAAGAAAAGAAGACAATGGAGAAAAGACAGTCTTTTCAACAAATGTTGCTGGAATAACTTGACATCCACATGCCAAAAAAAAGAATCTAGACAAAGACTTTACACCCTTCACAAAAATTAACTCAAAATGTATCACAGACCCAAATGTAAAATGTGAAACTATAAAACTCCTAGAAGATAACATAGGAAAAAACCTAGATGACCTTGGGTATGGCAATGACTTTTCAGATACAACACTAAAGACACGATCCATGAAAGAAATAATTGATAAGATGGACTTTGTTAAAATTAAAAACTTCTGTTCTGTGAAAAACAATGTCCAGAGAATAAGAAATCAGACTGAGAGAAAATATTTGCAAAAGACACATCTGATAAAGGACTGTTATTCAAAATATACAAAGAACTCTGAAACTCAACAATAAGAAACAAAAAAGCCAATTGAAAAATGAGCTGAAGACTTTAACAAACACCTCACCAAAGAAGATATACAGATGGCAAATAAGCATATGAAAAGATGCTCCACATCACATGTCGTCAGGGAAATGCAAATGAAAACAGCAATGAGATACCATTACACACATATTAGAATGGCCTAATCTGGAACACAGACACCCCCAAATACTGGTGAGGATGTGGGGCAACATGAGCTCTCATTCATTGCTGCTGGGAACGCAAAGCAGTACAGCCACTTTGGAAGACAGTTTGGCAGTTTCTTACAAAACTAAACATACTCTTACCATGCGATCAGCAATCGTGCTCCTTGGGATTTCCCCAAGGAGGTTGAAAATTTATGTCAACACAAATACCCACACATGGATATTTATAGCAGCTTTATTCACAATTGCCAAAACTTGGAAGCAACCAAGATGTCCTTCAGTAGGTGAATGGATAAACAGCGAGACATCCAGACAATGGAATGTTATTCAGCGCTAAAAAGAAGGGAGCTATCAAGCCGTGAAAAGACATGGAGGAACCTTAAATGAGTATCACTAAGTGAAAGAAGCCAACCTGAAAAGGCTATATACTGTAGGATTCCAACTATTTGACATTCTAGAAAAGGCAAAACTATAGAGACAGTAAAAAGATCAGAGGTTGCCAGGGGCTGGGAAGGGGGAGGGATGAACAGGTAGAGTATGATGATTTTTAGGGCAGTGAAAATACTCTGTATGATACTATAATGATGGATCCATGTCATTATACACGTGTCCAAACCTATAGAATGAACAATACCAAGAATGAACTGTAATGCAAACTGTGGACTTTAGGTGATAGTGATGTGTCAATGTAGGTTCATCAATTGTAACAAATGTACCACTCTGGTGGGGGATGTTGGTAATGGGGAGGCTCTGCACATGTGGGGGTAAGTGGCATATGGGAACTCTATGTACCTTTCCCTCAATTTTGCTGTGAACTAAAACTGCTCTAAAAATAAAAATCTTAAGAAAAAGAAGAGCATTTGAAAGGTTACCTTTACTTTTTGATCAGGTGGAGGAGACATAAAGGATTATTGTAGCTGAATTAAAATTTAAGAGAATTAATAAAGACTAAACAGTCCCTATTTTAGGCTTATTTCAGAAAACCTCGTAGAGAAAGCCAAAGGACTTGTAAAACTGAACTATTCTGATAAATGTTTTAAATTATAGACTCATAATTTCAATGTCTCCTTAGCTGTTACCAGTATGTTTTTCTTTTTAAAATAAAATTGAGGGGGCCAGCCCCATGGCTTAGTGGTTAAGTGCGCGCACTCTGCTACTGGTGGCCTGGGTTCAGATCCCAGGCGTGCATCGACGCACTGCTTGTCCAGCCATGCTGAGGCCGCGTCCCACATACAGTAACTAGAAGGATGTGCAACCATGACAAACAACTATCTGCTGGGGCTTTGGGGAGAAAAAAGGAAAAAAAGGAGGAGGATTGGCAATAGATGTTAGCTCAGAGCCAGTCTTCCTCGGCAAAAAGAGGAGGATTGGCATGAATGTTAGCTCAGGGCTGATCTTCTTCACAAAAAAAAAAAAAAAAATTGAAACGTACCATAAAAAAAAATTTATCCCTCCCCCCCAAAAGCTCCAGAATCTTTACTAAAGACTAACTTTGAGTCACAATATCGTCTTACCTGACTGACTCTTACTTTCCTGTTGGTCAGATTCTAAAAGGAAATAAGTGATGTTTCTATAATTTTTTGGTATAGCCTAATTGAGAGTATAAGAAATTTTATTCTGACACTGGGTTTAATCCTGGTTTTCCCTCTTCATTTGCATGCAGGACTATTCCCTATTATAACCAGTTCCTTTAAAAAGTCACTTGATGTCAAGCAGAGTGGTAAGTCCAACATTTCTCAGTGCTCATTTACATGTAGAGAGTTTAAATGATTGCACACTGCATATTATCATAAAAAACAAACTAAAGGGAGTTGGAGTTACTGTTTAACAATATTCACTCATCAAACATTTATTTCTGAGTGCTTATGTGTGGAGCTTTCTTTTAGGTGACGGGGATACAAAGATAAACAACCAAGGTTATAAATTGTGAACTGATGATGCTGTACTTTTTTCAGAGTCACTAACTTTTCCTCTTTCCCAGGGGTGACAATAATACATTGACAGTTAAAAACAAAAACAGCTTTCCTCTTATCGTAAACTTTCAAATAATACAGAGAAATATAAATAAAAGTAAAAAATCATCTGAAATCCTTCCCCTCCCACAGGGATAACCACCATTAACATTTTAGTGAATTTCCTTAGAAATGTCTGTCTATACTTATGCATACACAAAGATGCACACACACACAGAGTATATTGATGGGATCCATTGTCTTCTGTAATCTGCTTTCATCACTTAATAGTTTCATGGACATCCTTTGGTGTTAACATAATTATTTATTATCATTTTAATGGATACATAATATTCCATTCACTGGATATATCACAATTTAAAAATATCTCATATTTCTAGGCATTTAGGTTTTTTCAAATTTGTAACTCTTATAAACAATGCTGTGATGAGTCAATTTGAATATAAATTTTTGCAATTGTACAATCATCTCCTCAGGCTACTTTCCCATAAGTAGAATTCTTGGGACAGAAGGTATGCTTATTTTCAATTTTGATATATAGCCAAATCGCTTTCCAGAAAATTGGCTGCATGCACCAACAGTCCACAAGAGTGCCTGTTTTCCTATATCTTCTCTAACATTGGCTTTAAAAAATAATTTTAATATTTTCTAATTTGATAGATGAAGATATTTCAATTTTCTTTTAATTTTCATTTCTTTGATTATTAACGAGGTTGAGCATCTTCTGTTTACTAGTTATTCATAGCTCTTTTGTGAATTATACAGTCATGCACCGCATAACAACGTTTTGGTCAGTGATAGACTGCATATACAATGGTGGTCCCATACGAAGAGTACCATATAGCCTAGGTGTGTTGTAGGCTATACCATTTAGGTTTGTGTAAGTACACTCTATGATGTTTCCGTGATGACAAAATCGCATAACAACCCATTTTGCAGAACATATCTCCATTGTTAAGCAATGCATGACTGTAGTCAATTCTCATTATTCGAGGTAGTTATGTTTTCTAAAGTCCCCACTAACACTGAATTAGCAATTACCAAACCATTGCTCCTAGGGGAAATGTAGGGGCAGGTTCCCATGAGCCTCTGGTCACAACATTTTCATCAACTGATCAATATGTAAATACTGTTTTATGTGTGTTTCTGTTTAAAGATACCTTATTTAATACATATTATTGATTCATTAACCTTGAACTTACAGCTAACAGCACTATAACTCATGCCTAAATAAAGCTTATCTAACGTATTTTTTCCGTAATGCACATCACAGTCCTTTTTGCACTTAGGAATGCTAGATACGACTCCAGCCCTACACTCAGGGGCCATTTTAAATAGTGAAATTGCTAACAAAAAGCATAAAAATGCAGAAAATGTGGCACTAACTAGGCCGCAACAAGGACATTTGTTCACAGTATGAGAGCTGAAACAAGAAGGCAAATTCCTCGTTCAACCTCAACTGAGAATATGCACATCAGGTGAACTCAAATTGTTCGCCACTCTGTGTGTATGTCCTTGAATGACCTTAAAAGTGCTGCAAGTATTGACTTTGGGGTTACAAATAATTTTTAGCAAGTAGGCAAATTTGCAACTATGGAATCCATGAATGAGGAGGATTGATTGTATTCACTTCCTTTGCCTATTTTTCTATTAGGGTGTTTAGCTTTTACTTATTGATTTGTATAAGCTATTTGTATATTAGGATAGTATTCTTTTGCCCATCCTATTTTATAAATATTTTCCCCGATTTTGTCTTTCCACTTTACTGTTAGTATCTGTTATTACAGTGGCTTTTGACGGCAGTATCAAAGTGCCTTTTCAATGGGGAGGACCACACTGGCAAAGGAATTTTGTTAGATTTCTATTGTTGTGAAAGTGGTTGGTATTTATTTTTCTCTCTCTTTTGCACAGGCACACCAAATTCTGTTTGGTGATTTTTCTCCAGCATCTCCAAATTACAAAAAATCATGTAAGTCTTATACTAAACTACCACTTTATATCCATGTTCTGCCTTTATTTTAATTATGATCCTCATCTGATATTTGCATCCTTACCAGAATCTGAGGCCATTTAAGGCCTTTTGCATTTCTGCCTCCTTCCTCCTGTCATACCCCTTGTTACTTCATTGTACTTCTCCTAACAGTAAGAACAACAGCATGGAGAAATAAAAAGAGGGAGAAATCTCACAGAGACTTTTGCAAGCAAAAGCTCTGAAAAAGAGTGTACATGTAAGAAGGTTGTGGTGGCGGCAGAAGTTGATGGGGGCAGGTAGTGTGTATGTGAGAGTTGGGAACTATTGATTAAAAAACGATTTAGGGGGCTGGCCCAGCGGCGTAGTTGTTAAGTTCCTGTGCTCCGATTCAGCGGCCCCGGGTTCACAGGTTCAGATCCTGGGCGTGGACCTAGGCACTGCTTATCAAGCCATGCTGTGGTGGCGTCCCATATAAAGTAGAGGAAGATGGGCACGGATGTTAGCCCAGGGCCAGTCTTCCTCAGCAAAAAGAGGAGGCTTGGCAACAGATGTTAGCTCAGGGCTAATCTTCCTCCCAAAAAAACAAGCAAAAAAAACAGTTCCTGCCATTGAGGAATTTATAATCTAATTG